GCTGCTGCGAACATCCGGGGAATCTCTGCGCTCCATCGTGTATCAGAGGCACGCGGACGCGCAGGGTTGGGGCGCCTGTCCTGGGCAGTCTAGCTTGGCCTTTCGACCGAGAGCACCCTGCCCCCCGGGCCGGGCGTGCAGTGGGGACAGCAGGCCGGCAGCGGGGGTGCCTTTTGTTTTAATTTTCCCAAGGTTGGAGTGGGTTCCTTTTCGAGTCACATGGGTCTGTGAAGCCAGGTGAACACGAGCACAGCGGAGACCTTGGGGTCACTCGTCCACCCTAAAGCGAACTGATGATCTGCCTCCGCCAGGCGCCAGGCGAGATGCCGGAAGTGGGGCGGGGCGGGCACCAGCACGGCCACTTACAGGCCGTGTCGCCCTGAAGGTGGGGTGTGGCGGGACAGTGGGAAGGTCACACCAGGTCTTACCAATCAGAGATCCGGACAAGACTCCTGCCATGGTCCACAGGCTGGTCGCCGATGTCCCCTGGAGAAAGTCAGTGGCCAAGAGCAACAGGATGCTGTTCTCCAGCAGCATAATCTGTGGGACAAGACGACAGTCACCACGCATAGGCAGGAGCACGTGGCCTTAGGGACAAACCCGGACTGCAGTTCTGCAGCACCTTCCTTTGGAGTGAGGACAGAGCCTCCTTGGGGCCACCAGGGCCCCATGGTGACCGGGCTCCCCAGAAGCAGGGTCAGGGTCCCCGACAAAGGGGGCTTGTCCCTGTTCTTAGTGCAGCTCCTTAAACTGTCTGCAGCTCATACCTGCACAGGAAGCATAAGGTCACAGCCCACATGGTGCCGGCTGCTCCTTTGGCGAGTCAGACGGTTCCCTCCTGCTTTACATGGTCCCCACTTTCGTGCTCACCGTATGCATGTATTACCTTTATAACACAGTAACTAAAAGTATCTGCAGAGTTCAGAGTGCCACTGAAACCAGTACGCTAGTCACAAACTTCAGTAAAAACTTCAGCATTTTTCCCCAGATACTATTTGCCTCTTTAAAGGTAGATTTGGTCCACGGCCACCAGGTGGCAGCAGAGGAGGCACGCTTGCTGTGGACCCTGGAGCCTCTCCAGGGACCAAAGGGCCCCCTCCTGTGCAGAAGGTTCTTTGTCCTGCCCACCAGGCCGGCTCATTAACTTTACTTTCCAATCTTGAAACGCAAACATCTATTTCTTAAAATAGTTAAACACGCTGGACATAATGCAAAGACGATATATTGAAGTGCCGTATATGAGACAGCAAAGGACTAGATTGTCAGACCGACGTGGGGAGTCAGAGCTTTGCCACGGTCATTCACTGGTGCCATTTCAACTCTAGGAAAGTCAAACAAGGAGAAAATTAAAGACGTCACGAGGAGCTGCTTGACAAACGTAAGAACGCCCACCGTCCCCATGCCGTGGGCTCTGGGTGGCTTTGACCTGGGGACGTGCTTTCCCTGTTAGCCGTTAAAAACCAGGGCTACTCTGAGAGCCACCAGGCCTGTCCTCCTCAGGGAGTGGACTGCGTGGCCTTTGTGCTTTTCGAACAACAACAGAAGCCAGGCGCAGTGGCATCGGCTCTTTCTCTGCCGACAGAAGGAGATTCACCCAGGAGGCACGCACAGTTTTCCCTTTGGTCCGTCAGGGCTCCTCTCCGGCAGGGGAGGTGCCTGCTAGGAGACAGAGCGTCCATGAAGGGACCACGTGGCAGGGCCTGACGTGGAGGGGTGTGGGCAGGAGGCCTGGACTGAGGGATGGGAGATCTGGACCGGGCAGCATCGTGGGCCGGCCGTGTGCCCCTGGACGTGCCCCTTCGCCTCTGTTTGTCCAGTGCCTCAGCTGGATTCTCATGACCCCACACCGGAGGGCTGCGAGGAGGCCAAAGGAGCCTGTGAGCCAAACAGGCGCGGCTGCTGGCCTGTGCCACCTGCGGAGTGCCCGCGCCACCACTGCATGCTCCTCTGTGACCTTCGGTCGTGTCCGATTTCCATCTTTCCTACTTAGTCACTCTTGACTCAGTGATCCAGTGACTAAGACAGCCAGAAGCAACAAAGCGTTTCCCTTCAGCGTGTGACAGCTTCTAAAACTCCCGTGAGGTGCTGTGGCGATGCACGTAGGGAAGTGACCCACACCATGAACGCACGACGTCTGTTCCTTTAGTTCCCACCTGTCGGAGCGCGTGTGGGCACCGGCAGATGAAGAAACTGCTTCTGCGAATAGACGGCCAAATGAATCCTCTATATCATTCCCGTGCGTACGCGCGCGGGCCGGGAAGCTGTGACACGCGTCACGGTGAGCCGCCCGCCCCAGGTTAACAAATTCGCCGCACCCCACACGAGGTGGGTGTTCTTATCCCTGGTTCAGATGTGCTCACTGAGGCCTGGCGAGGCTCTGTAACTGTCCAATGTCACGGGGCCTATTTGGTCTGTCAGCCCCGTGCCGAGGGGGCCACCAAGCCCCACGGGGCTCCCCTACAGCGGGAGGGGACCACGGCGCCACCTCCCCGGCAGAAGCTGCATCTCCGGCCTCTTGCATTTGCTCGCAGCTCCATCCCGGATCGCCTGAGCCCCGCAAATCTCTTCATCTTGTAATGGCCACTATTTGTTGGTTATTTTGTGCCAAGTTGTTTATTATTATTTTATTTAACCATCCCAGCGACACTGAAAAGGTGGGTTTTATGTAACTGTCACAGGAACGCTGAGAGGCAGGCGGCCTAGTTCCTGAAGTGCCAATGAAAAGCTGGGTTTGGAGAGTTGACGTCTGGGCCAGACCCGTCGGCGGCAGTGATCGGCAGGGCGGGGCGGCCCTTGCGGGCGTGTCCGGTTCCGCGCCCTGTGCCCGGGAGTCCGTGGCTGCATTTTCCCCCCGTTGCTGCTTGCAGAGCAGCTCCCTCTCCGCCTTCTGGTCAAAAGCACATCAGGCCATCCGATGTGATGCGGCACGTGGGTTTCAGACACGGTCCCCTTCCTAGCATTTCTGCCTCTTTTTTTCTGGTTAAAAAAGAGCGTATTCCTGTACTGGACGAGAAGCAGCCGAAGGCAGGCACTGCATCACCTTCGGCTTTTCACACTATCTGGCACCAAGGCTGTAACTCAGTAACCGAGGCGATCGACCAGGCCACTGTGTACGCAACACAGGAGCACTGTGACAGTGCTTATCAAGTGGGCTGATGGAGAGAGGCTGAAAAACGTCGCGAACACGCCACAGCTCTTACCGTGGTACCTGTACCTGTGAGGACAGCCGGACACCTGTTTTCAGAGCCTGCCATCTCTGTTCGAGACTACAATTCCATTTAGAATTCTTCCTAAAACTAAGCTTTTCTCTCTTAAATAGACATGCGTGCACAAGTGCACACACGCACGCACGCGTGTGCTCTATCTACACAGTAAGAGTTAGAATCGAAGAAAACCGTCGTCCCCACTTGCCATATAGAACGTGGCCATCCTGTGTCGGGAAGGGCTGTCCCAGAAGTTGAGGTAGCAGAGGATGTACACGGCGCCCGCCAGCAGGTTGAACAGCCTCCAGTGGCAGGTGCTGTCCACAATGTCGCTCTGCTGGGCCACGAGCCAGAACGTCATCACCAGCCAGTGGGCACCTGGAGCAAGGTGGGAGGTCAGGGTCCCCTTGGGGGGCCCGGGAGGGGGTGGGGCAGGGACACACAAACCAGGGCCTCAGACTTTCTTCTCTGTTCTGACCATGCCTGACCCAGCATCCAAGAGAGATCAAACCCAGGAGAGATTTGTGGGGTGCAGAGAGCGTGGGGTGCCTGGCGTGGGAGCGAAGATGCCATGTGTACAGCGAGCCTCCTTGTGTGTCCGACACCCGCTGTCTTAGACATATGCCTGAGGCCCGCGGGGCAAGAACCCCCCCAGGAGCCCAGTCAGCCTCCAGAACTGGGGTTGCTGGTCTAAGTGGCTGTTTTAAGGAATTAAGGTGGTTCCTTACGCAGCTCGCCCTGGATGGCGGCCACACAGCTCGGCTTACCTGCAACCGCCAGCCCCCAGGCGCCGTGAGATCTGAAGAACAGGGCCAGACTCAGGACGCGGGCGCCCACCATGCCCATCCTCCAGAGCTGCTGGCAGAGCAGGGCCGCCCACGTCCATGGCGGGGAGAGGTGGCCGGGCCTCACGGAGCCGGCGAAGCGAGCATAGCACACCAGGGCCCAGGCCAGCGCCGACCAGGAGCACAGGGCGCTCAGCGCTGGAAGGAAGCGGCAGCGGTGTTTGTGCGACGTCTAACCTCTGATGAAGAGCTGGCTTCACCGGGTCATCGTCACCCAGCGGCCGGGCGGCGGGCGCAGAGGCCGAGCACAAACACGCACGTGCACGCCCGGGGGCGCCGAGGAGGGAGCACTGACCCGTCACCCCCTGCTCTGGGCTCTGAACACGGGGTACCACCCAACGACCTGTGCTGTCTGACCCACAAGAACGAGGTTCCATCAAAGACATGAAACCAAACATCACCCTGTGTCATGCCGGGCCCTTCGATGAAGACGAATGGCCGCCCGGCACCGCCGTGGCGTCCGCGCCCGCGCCCGCGCGGACACGTGGCAGGGCGAGGGTGGAGAAAGGGGCTGTGCGGCGAGAGGCCACCGCGAGAACGAGAAAGGGGTACGCCGGCTCCCCGGGGTGCGTGCCCGCTGGTGGCAGACGCTGCCGGGGCCTGAGCGTCTCAAAAGCCTCTGGCCGCAGGGACCCGGCCAGCGACTGACGACACAGGAGGCGCTGGCGCATCGATCTTGCGGGAAGCGGGTGTGGGACCTTCCCCAGGTGTTTTCGGGGTATCTGACGCTCCAGTTTCTACCTGCGGAAGGACCTATATGACGGGGGTCAATCCGCTGTGAACTAATCAGCCCAAACGAAAGCCAGGTTTCGCCACCCTTGTGCTCCTGAGCTTGGGCACCCTCACCCCAAGCAGCGGAAATCTTAAATGAAGGGGTCTTGCTAAATAAAGCTTTAGTTTCTGTCCCCCTTGAGGTGTGAGACAGTCTCTGCTCGCGGAGGAAGTCACTCACTCACCTGGCACAATATCTGTGAAGTCGGAGGCGAGGAAAATGTAAGTTTGAAGAAGCAGGTGGGGCCCGGCCTGGAGCAGGGCTTCCAGGAGGCGCAAGGCTGACAGGTCCGCCTCCTGGAGCGGCAGGGGGGCCTCGCCGTGGGCCGCCCCGTCCTCCCGTAGCACCATCCACGTGGTGTCCCAGTGCCTGAGGGAGAGTCGGGGCGTGTGCTGCGGGGCCAGACTGCCCCAGCTTGACGAGGACACCTCCCTGGCTCGTTGTTGGGACCTATAGCATCCTAGAGAACCACCTGTCATAGCGACACGCAAAGATCTCTGAGCTCCGACTGCAGACTTGACGGCAGTTCTAGTCCGTTTGCTGCTGTGGGTGATCCCGAGCAGCCCATGTGTGGGAGGGATGGGGGCGGCCCGCTGGGAGCCTGGACCAGACAGGCTTGCCGGGGGCTTTCTCTGAGCCCTACAAGGTTTGGGGCTAACCGAACCTGCGTCCCCTACCCCAGAACATCTTGGGATGGACACCGATCTGCTCAGCGAATGCTTCTTACAAGGTATCATGTCATCGTTGCTTTAGAGCATAAGAAGGTGAGAAAAAGTGTCCTCATCCTCACAGGAGAACTTCGTGTGCCTCTGACACTGGGACAGGCACAGAGCAGAACGGGGACTGAAGAGGGGCCCTGGCTGGGACGGCAAGAGAGGCAGGTGGCTGGGGGTAATGGGAAAAGGGGAGTATGGAGTGACTCTTGGGCACCAGCAGCATGAGTTTGGACACGCTGAGAGCCTGACACAGCCCCATCTCTGAATGAGGCACCGCGTGAGACGGGGCAGGGTCCCCCCAGAGCCCAGAAGGCAGATTTATCTGGCAATTGTTCAGGAAGCTTCTCTCAAGGGACTAACATTGACTTAACCCTCCCTTTGAGCTGTCCTGTTTGTCAATAGGTGGTCTGTCCTGGAGCCCACAAGCTTGACGAGGCGGTGCCTGGAGGGACCAAGCCCCTAATGGTTTTAAGAGGCTGGGCACAGGTGGGGGCTGCACATGGGGTGCAGTGCCCTGCAGAGGCTCCACCCCTGTGTGAGTCCGATGAAAAAGCCACCTTCGCTCTCCTCCCTCTGGGAAGAGTCAGACCTTTTGAACGCAAAGGCCCAATGTTAGGCAAATCACTGTGGCCGAAAACCGCTTTCGGTGCCTTTAAGGACCTAAGGTTCCAGCTCTGAGGGTCCCATTACATCCACAGTGGTGGCTTGACGTCTCTACCCAAAGCACCCTCTACTTCCATTCTGAGATTCTACTCTGGCAGGGAGGGAATTCGTCTCTCTTCAGACTCAGCTGAGAAATCAGAAATCTGACTTCGGCTCCCACACAGGAAGCCCTGAGAGCAGCTCGAAGGCATAAACCGCCGAGCACAGCCCAAGATCTGAGGCTGGGCAGTGACTCCTTGTGCACCCCCCAGTCCTCAGCACCTACTACTTCATTTCAATGAGCACTGGAGCTGCACGGCTTCGCCGATCGGGCCCCCCCCAATGATCTCCCTGTTTCATTCTTGGCGACTCTACAGGATGGGATGATGCAGCAGCCGAGAACGGAAATTCGCCACGTACGTAAACTCCCTGCCACATCTCTCCTGACTGCAGGGAGCCCAGAGAAAAGCACACCTGGCCTGCTGAGATGGGCCGCAGGTGAGCCAGCCAGCACGAGGCTCATCCAGGCCGCATTTTTATGGGACAAACGGGCCCTGGCTGCCCAGTGGCTTCTTCTTGCATCAAAGGTTCGATGCAGACATCGCCAGCCTGGCTCCGCAGCCGTCTGTGCTTGAAGCTGGGCCCGCTTCCTTGACTAGGGCACTAGGTGCTGTGAGCTTTACGGTCCCCGGGGGAGGGGGGGGGTTAGGACACTCGTGCAGGAAGAGCCTTCCTGTGCACGCGTGTCATCCAGCTTACCGCTTCCACACGCCGAGCTGCAGGAGGTGCAGCATGGCTAACCAGCACTGGCCTGGCTGTCCGTCTGCTCGGAACCACAGGTAGCTGAGGCTCTGGACCAAGAAGCCAGGCAGGAGCACGGCGAGGGCCAGCCACCCCCAGAGCAGCTGCCCTGTGGCGAAGTAGTAGACTATGGTGCAGAGGCCTAGGGGGCGGACGAGGGGGAAGGTGAGTGGGAGGTGGCCGCGAGCCTGGGTAACCAGCCATCACTGCGTCCCCACCGCAGGCCGGGCTTTGCTGGACCCAGCTGGAGAGCAGCAGAGCCAGCGAGCAGGCCAGATGGGCACGAGGCTGAATGAAAATGCCAGGGATGCCCAGGGCACCCAAAGGATCTGACACTGTGATCCCATAGTGAGGCCATTCGGGGCACAGAACGCGTGTGCAAAAACACCTGGCACCTGTGTGTGCTCAGAAATGCCCAGCCTCCTCCGGGGACTGTGCTGAGGACTTTAAGGTCAAGACAAGTTGGCGGGAGGGTCTGAGGCCCCTGACCAGTGACAGCAGGGCAGGTGCTGGAGTCTGTCCCTCGCTAGGAGGCGCACAGTCGTTTCCCAACGTTAGAGTCTAAAATGGATTTACGGGCACAGGAAGCTGCGGACAGCTGCCCCACTACAGATGGGGGCTCTGCGGGTCTGGACAAACGGGTCAGGGCTTGGGCAGCCATCCTTGGTCCCCAGGATCTGTCCCGGCCTCTCATGGTCCTGGGCTTCCAGCTACAGGGTCCTTCGGAGGTGGAATGCTGAGGCCCGCAGCTCCGGATGGGGGCGGGGCGGGGGGAGAAGGGGACAACGTCCTGAGACTGTGGGTGCTGAGACCATGGGTCTTGTCTTGTCTTGACCCTGCTCATCCGGGGCGCTGGATTCCGGAGCTTCGTTTCGGGATCTCACCCGAGCTCCTCCTGGGCGCGGGTCACGTCTGGAGCACCTTTGATACAGCGCGGTGGGGGCGCCTGGGGGGACCCTAGGGACCAGCGGTTCAAACAAGGGACCCGCCCCCAGGGGCGACGTGAGGAGCCGCCCCCGCCGGCATCCCCGCTGCGTGAGTGCTGGGGGGCGGGGGGCTTCACTCTGGGGGTCTGGAAGCTGTGGCCTCATTCAGGCACCCCACCTCTCCCGAGACCCCCGGAGAAAGACGTGTCTGCGGGTGGCCCGGCGGAAGTGGGCGGAGGCCTCCTCTCCCGCCCCGAAAGAGTTACAAATTCAAACTAGAAAGGCGCTAAAAGCGTTGCCATCTTGCTTCGCCTCGGCTGGCGGCGACCTGGCGGGACCCCGCTCCTAGCGAGACGGGGGTGTCCCCCGCGGGCCGTATTCGGCCCTGTTCTAA